TTTGATTGGTTTAAGAAAAACTTTTTCTGAGACCAATCTTAACTTTGCTGTTCCTAGAAAAAAATGTATTCGATTTAGCACTTAAACGATACCTAATGTCTATCTTAGGATGTTAATTTTAATTTGATGATATTAATCATTTGCGAAATGTACATATTTATCATAAAAAACTTAAATTTGTCAGTTTTTTTCTTGATTTATTCTATTTTAGATTAAACTAATTCATTTTGGATAAATTTTGTCTTTTCTTAAATTAATAAATGGATTTGATTTACTTTATCATAACATTTCTTTCCCTGATTATTACATCTCGTTCATACATACTTCTACACTGTATATTATAAGTTTATTTTGTGTATTTTTTATTTTCCTTCAAAATGATACCCAACAAGCTATACTTAGTAAAAAAAACAACAAAGATATCGCCAAAAAACATAATTTCCACGGCTAAGTGGATCAAAATCATTTATTTGATTTCCAGTCTTATCCTTTATCAAACATCAAAACATCGTGCACCATCCAATGGAGAATTTAATTCTCATCAGCTTCGCCGTAAAATTTTTAATCCCATCTGTCTAGACATTTTTATTAGCGCAAAGAAGTGACTATCACCGTCACACACGGCTAATCGTGGCGTAAAATCCTCGCCTCCACTTCTTGCCGGTGCAAACCGCAGCGCAAGGTCTTTAAACCACGTTAAATAAAAAATGTGTGTTTTTTAGATGCCATGTATATTTTAGTATGGTTGGATGGAGATTTAAAAAACATGCACAACGAGTACCAGCTCGGCATACTTTGGTGCATTAATAAGGGAGATATCGGGAAAAAACACTAAAAGCATGGCACACTATGTGAAATTAGTTTTTTTGTGATATCAGGATTATTTATTCATTAAATTTTTCGAGTGAGGTGTCATTTTAAAGCATTTTTGATTGTTTCTAAAATATATAAAAATATACGGGGTGTATTATGTTTAAGTGAAAATAAACAACAAAATCAAGATAAACTTTCAATTTTGTTGTACAAATATTGCGTGGTAGCTTGAAGCGGTTTCGACTTTGACTCAAAAAATCCCCTCTAGAATAATATTTGCGGTATACTCGGGCTAACAATTGCAAACAATGGAAAAATGTTTTTACAGGCTCCCTAGACCTTCAGGGCGTTAGAGCGGAAAGTGATCTATTGATCTTATTTTTTTTGCGTGTGATTATATAAATATTGAATTATTTATCCGATTTCGGTTCTTTGAGAAATCTTTTTGTCCAATTAAATCCTTAAAAAACACGATTGCGAAAAACAAATAAATTTTTCGGCCCTTGCGTGTGGGCCTCAACAATTTGCATTTAAACAAAACTAAAAACGAAAAATTATTATTAATTTCAAGACCACACTATATTTTACGACGCACCTGCTACGGTTCGCAATAAAACAGTACGTTGATACGTTACTTTATTGGATGTTTATTATTTTAATTTACATCTGAAGAGAATTAATGATTTCCTACTGTAAAATACGTTTTTAATTTAAAACATTATTATTCTTATAAGAACTATGAAAGGAAGCGATAGATTTTTTAATTACCTTTAATTTGATGCGTTACTTGCCATATTTTAATGCAAAAACAAATGAAATACGGCTGAAAAACACATTTGTCATGGCACTCTCTAATTGATATGTAAATTTGTCTGTATAAGGTAAATTTCTTAGTCAAATTAGATGTTTGATAGGTCATTTTAAAGGGATTTTTATACTTTATTCAAATTCACAAAAATATTTAACTATTTTTATTGTTTTCCTATACTTTTGTGCATATTATAACCATTTATATCTCATTGTAATCACCATAAAAAATCCTGTAAAAAGAGTACCAACATGACGTACTTTAACCTAAAAACAAAGAAACTACAGCCAAAAACACTTTCTGTTCTGTTAGACCAAAATCTCATAATCCGTTAATTTTCACCTAAAAATACATTACTTGCCATATTTTAATGCAAAAACAAATGAAATACGGCAAAAAAACAAATTTGTCATGGCACTCTTTAATTGCTATGTAAATTTGTTTGTATAAGGTTTTTTCTTAGCCAAATCAAATGTTTGATAAGGTCAATTTAAATGAATTTTATACTCTATTCAAATTTACAAAAATATTAAACAATTTTTATCGTTTATCTATACTTTTGTGCATATTATAACTATTTATATCTTATTGTGATCACCATAAAAAATCCTGTAAAAAGAGTACCAACATGCCATATTTTAACCTAAAAACAAAGAAACCACAGCCAAATACACATTTCCCGGTCTGATAGACCAAAATTTCATATTCCGTTAATTTTTACTTAAAAATACATTACTTGCCATATTTTAACGCAAAAACAAACGAATTACAGCTGAAAAACATATTTGTCATGGCACTCTATAATTGATATGTAAATTTGTCTGTATAAGGTTAATTTCTTAGCCAAATTAGATGTTTGATAAGGCAATTTAAAAGGATTTTTATACTCTATTCAAATTTACAAAAATATTAAAGAATTTTTATTGTTTTCCTATACTTTTGTGCATATTATAACTATTTATATCTCATTGTAATTACAATAAAAAATCCTGCCAAAAGAGTACCAACAAGCCATACTTTAACCTGAAAACAAAGAAACTACAGCCAAAAAACACATTTCCTGGTCTGCTAGACCAAAATCTCATAATCCGTTAATTTTCGCTTAAAAATACATGCAAAAACAAATGAAATACAGCTGAAAAACACATTTGTCATGGCACTCTTTAATTGATATGTAAATTTGTCTGTCAATTTAAAGGGATTTTTATACTCTATTCAAATTTACAAAAATATTAAACTATTTTTATTGTTTTCCTATACTTTTGTGTATATTATAACTATTTATATCTCATTGTAATCACCATAAAAAATCCTGTAAAAAGAGTACCAACATGCCATACTTTAACCTAAAAACAAAGAAACCACAACCAAAAAACATTTCCTGGTCTGCTAGACCAAAATCTCATAATCCGTTAATTTTCACTTAAAAATACATTGTAACCCATCGTTTTAAAGGTTTTTTAGAGCTACATTCAATTATTGAAACAAATACCACACCTTTAAAAATTTTGACATTAATGCGCAGGCCATAAACAAATAAGTATTGCCGTAGAAAACGCATAACGTTAACTTTAACGATGCGCTCATTGTTTATGGAAAGTTACACTATCATCAGTGCGCGTAAAGCATTTGAAGACGAGAAAAAAAAATGAACAACGAAAAACATAAAATAAATCTTCGTAACCCCAGGCAATTTTTTATTGACGCGATTGTTTATTTTCCTGCGCTTTCATAAATCGAGTGTTTCCCGACAAATTTGCCAACCATCCCACGCTTAGGAAGGCATAAATATGCTAAAAAAAAGTTCGCAAGAACAACATTATAATGATCTGTAGTAATATTATTCATAATTTTTTGTTTGCTCCGGCCGTAATCGTCCCCACAAAGCCTGTTCGGACACCCAACAGAATGAATAAATAAAGAAAACAGCAAAAAATGTCAACTTTACTTATTGTAAGGTTATGTCGTGATATATGGTGAATATTTTAGTTGGGTCGTGTAGATTATTGAAAAACCTGCCATTTAAGTACAAACTCGACATGTTTGTGTTCAAAAATAACAGAGTTGCAAACGAAAACACCAAATTCCAAGGCACTCTTTTCTAAAACGTTATTTCGTTATTTCTAGCCTACTATTGGCGAAAAATATCACTTATTTTACATTATTTTAACGGGAATTTAACCCTCTACATTCATGACATAAAATTATTAAATTATTAAAATGTTAGTTTTTGTACGGTTATATTTTGAAAATCCATGCCATTTGAGTACAATATCGGCATATTTTGCTATAAAAATAACCAAGTTATGAGCAAAGATACAAAATTTCATAGCCCTCTATTATAATATTGTACATCAATTTGACTAAAGTTTAATATAATATTCTCATCAAAATTATCACACGTATTGCAATATTAAGTTAATTTCGTTCCCAGACATGCTCGCGTCTTGGGTACCTTGATGTGGTATCTACCGGTCAATTACCAGGGTACCGCATGGGGTATACCCTTATAGACGGACCCCAATTAGTCCTTAGCCCGCTGTGATACAAGGCATTAACTATATAGCAAGGTGTAACGGCCACCTTACCCCTCAGCACTCTTTTTATTTTAGTTGGCTTCGTGATATATTAACACTGCAGATAGAGATTTAAAAACCCTGTAAAATAATGTATTACACTTTATATTTGGGTTTCAAACTATGAATAAAACAAAGTTGGTCTCAGTGTGCCACGGAAATATGTTTTTTTTATGTCATGTGGGGTGTCAAATAAGAGTATTTTTTATGTTCTAAACATTTATTAAATACAAATTTGCATATTTAGTCAATAAAATTAAATATTTACTTGCAAAAACTATTCGCAGCATCGTAATTCCTAATTACAGCATCGGACTCTTTGAACAACATAAAATATTATAGTTTAATAACCTTAATAAAATTATGCATACGATATAACAAGTATATTTTATATGTACGCAGCGCAATTCGATTCATTTTTTATTAAAAACAATGCTACGATTTTTCATCTCCATTTTGACATTTAATTATAGATAAAGCTGTTGTTGCATCTCAATTTAATTAAGTTTTTTGCTAAATTAAAGCGTATCGCCTTATATTTTGATGTTAATGTAATTAATTTAAATTGTTTACACGGGATTGAGCGGAATAACAACGTGATTTTGCATTTTAATTGAAAAAACGCATCCAATCCAGATAGCCATGCCAAAAGACATTTGTGCGTTTATCTCCTTTGCTTTTTGACCAAAGTATATCGAGTCACCACTCTAACGTGAGGAAATTTAATTCCGCGTCCGAATATGATATAATATACAGGGTGGCTCAACTCGTGCACGAGATACAATTTTTTTTCCATGTTGCAGAGTCTATAATGGGTTCTGCATCGGAAGATGAGGAAGATGACGACAACAGCACGGCCTCCTCTGTTTTGAAGCATCACACGATACACAGTACGGTACCGGCTCCAGGAGAGACGAACAACAACTCCTTGGCCCACTCCGATATATCCTCTTCGATAGGGCAGGATTCGAAGACGGGTCAGGACGATTCCGAAGATCAAAATTCCCTGGACGGGGACCCTGAAACGAGAGATTCGCAGACGGAAAACAAAAGTCCCGACGACAGTAGCGCGGGTTCGAAACGCAGAGGGCCAAGGACGACGATTAAGGCAAAACAGTTGGAAATACTGAAAACGGCCTTCTCCCAAACTCCCAAGCCCACTAGGCATATAAGAGAGCAACTGGCGAAAGAGACTGGGTTGCCAATGAGGGTTATACAGGTATGTTTTTTTATCGGAATTTTTGTTTTATGAAATGAGGATTTAAATCTCTTTTAAAATAATACATAACATGTAATATTTTCCCTATAAAATAATCGTAAAGTATCAAGAAACATTTTAGTCTAGTTATCCATGAATTTGACATTTCCCACCGTATCTCTCTTGCTTTTTAACCAAACCACGTCAAGTTGGTACTCATTTTAACGGAAATTTTATTTTCTACACAACCCCCTTTCATTCGTTTTCGAGATATGTAAAATTGAAGTTGTAACAGCACACTTCGTTTCTTATTTAAATAAAAATGAAAAAATACAACTTTTGTTTGAAACGCCTTCCCACATGTTTAAATGAAAACCACATCAAAAAAAGTCTAGAGGAGTCAAATCTGGAGATCTGGCCGGCCAATCCAGAGCGCCTCTTCTTTTGATTCATTTTTATTCTTTTCTTAATTAACTCGTATGCATTTTAAGCATGAAAAGAGTATATACGAGGTGTGTTCAGAAAATACTTCCCATTGGATATTATGCACATGTGCCAGCTCTTCTTCCAATACTTTTAAAACTCGATCTTTGGGATAGCCTTTAGTTCTTTTAGCGATGCGCTTTTAATGTAACCTATGCTTGCAAAACGACGGCCCTTGAAGGTTCTCTTTATTTTTGGGAATAGGAAAAAGTCAGACAGAGGCATGTCCGGCGAATATTGAGGCTGGGGCATCATTACAGTATTCTTTTTGGCCAAAAATTTTGTTCAAAATTTAACAATTTTAGAACAAATTTTGCAGCCACGCTTTTCATACCCAAAACATTCGAAAAAATTTTATGGGATGAGCCAATCGATATACCAACATCATCAGCGACTTCTCTGATGGTTTATAACCATTTCTTCCACTTTTTCCATGTTTTTATCGGTTGTTAATGTGCTTGTGCGTTCGTCATCTTCAACGACTTCACGGCCATCTTGGAAACTCTTATACCACTTGTAAACTCTTGTTTTACTTATAGCAGACTCACTAAAGGCCTTTGTTAACATTTCACAGAATTTATTTCATTTTTTAAGCAAAATTGGATACAAATTCTTTGATCCATTTCTTTTAACGAACGAAAAAGCGCCGAGCTCATAAAACACGTCTAACCTTAGCGGCTGCCACAGACAAAGTAAATAAATATTAAATATTAAATTACTTTGATTTTTGTACACAATTTTTAAATTTTCATGGTTTTTCTTATTTTTTTAAGAATTTCTTGTTTTTAAATATCAAAGAAAATTGGAATACAAAAATAATTAATAAAAAAATTGTCCACAAGTTTTCAATTCAGTAATGTGCGTCAAAATCATCGCGTTTGTTAGCTGCAATACGTACTTTTTGACAATGGCGTAGCAGTTTGAAGGGAAATTTAAGAAAATATTTATAATAATAAATTTATATTTATTATTGACTAATCCAATTTTAAATTAATAAAAAAATAAAATCATGTCGGCGAAATTGCATGGCACGCCCATGACTAATGTACTAACCTATAAAGTGTATGTCTTTATGTCGACTTTCAAAATACATCTTGAAGCCAAACAAATTTCTTTATTTTTATAATTTTCATCTTCCTTTGCTTTTGCAACCGCGGAATGACTTTAGTATTTTTAGTTTTTATTTTAAAACAATTTTGAAAAAATAATGTTAAAACACAATTTTTATTGGGATTAAAAATTAGCGAATAAAAAAACTATGTTGCGTAAGAACGAAAGCTACGGCTATAAAGTTATTATTATTGTAATTATTTCACTGAACGCCCTAAGGCGTACACATATTTTAATGCGTATTTATAACCTGCCAATTTCAAATGTTTTCAATTCATCATGTCAAAACAAAAACTGACACGTGTTCTTGATAAATATAATACAACAGAAAAAGTAAATCGATTACTTACACAAAAGTATCATTGACATAGCGTTGCATTTTACGATGTTGGTTACTTTTTCATATTTATACAGGGTGTCCCAAAAATAGTGTGCAATACTTTAGACGTGATTTGTAACGACAAACATGTGTTGTTTTTTTATTATTATTTCCGAAACGTATTGAAATAAAATAATGAAATTTGTTATGCTGGATTTAAAAATAATAACAAAATTTAAAAAAGCATTAAACAGGGGCGTCTCTATATTTTTATCCACAAATTTTTTGTTGGATTGAAAATATAAAAATTTTGAGTTTTATACGCGAAAAAGTTAATCTTGTTAAACATCGATAAAATGCACCATTTTTAAATAAAAATAAAATAACATGGGTATTTAAAAAAACATTTTTCTGTTTTAATTTAATATATTTAACAATAAATATTTTAATAAAATACATATATTTAGCCGTCCTAGGTTCATATAAAGTTTTATTCCTATTTTGGCCCTAAAAACCAAGTATTGCACACTATTTTCGGGACACCCTGTATAACTAATATCAAAAACTTTTCCAGGGTATTTTTGTTCAACTGTTGATAAGTTGTTGACGTGCAAACAATGATTATATTATACTACAACATTAAATTAACCTTAAATTAACGTTATTTTGTATTAAGTGGGAAATTTAATTATGGTAAAATTAACATTATGTTAGTTCAATTTAACTTCTTGGTTAATGTACATTTTGGTTAAAAAGAAGATTACATTTTAACTATTACTTTTTAACTCTTATGTCAACTTAAACTATAATTAACCGATTTAAGTTTATTTTAACTTTATATAATTATAATTTACCAAAAATGGTATTTGTATCTATAGATATGACTTACAGATCCTTAAATTAAAATGCCGCCCCTGAATATGAATACTCAATAGAAAAAAAATAATATTTTATTATTGGTTTTTCCCTTTCTATAGAGAGGGAAAAACCAATAATAAAATATTATTTTTTTTCTGAAGAAGTAGTACATAAAACTATTATTAACTATTAAATGCGCTTTGAAAAAAATATAATGGAATAAAATTTAAAAAAAATATATTTTGCCTATTTTTCTTTATTTCGTTTGAAATTGATTAAAATATATTTTTTCTACTTCCACCTTTAAAACGCCCTTTATCGTATATGTTTCCATGACACTAAGTGACCTTTTAAATACACATTGACAAGTTGTGGCTTTATGGCGCTTTAGTCACGGGCCGAAGTTAGCAACAGGATTTTAGTCACGGGCTGAAGTTAGTTTTAAGTTAGTTGACAGTTGTCAAATGTCATACAATCGTTAAAATAAAGTGCCTTTCTTGTAAAATAATACTGAATGAAAATTATTTTATTATCTCAATACAAAAATACAAAAGTATTCAATAGTTTCTCAACGCCAATATTTGAAAAGTTTATATGAACATTGTACTGACCTTTTAATTTCGCCGGCAGTAAACTATAACTTAAATTCGTGCTCATAAAACATTTTCTTTACTTTCACTGTGAAAAACTGTCAATTTTCAAGAAATACATTTCGATTTATAACCTTTATAATTGTGTTTATAGAGTATATAAAAATTTGACATTTGACGGTGACACACAGATTCCCCTATTGTTTGATAGATGGCGCTCTATACAAATTTTTGATTTAAATCATTTTAAGATATTAATTGACAACAATATGGCGATTTTATGATGCTTTTACTTATTGGTTACATATATGCTATAGCCAATATAAATTAACCTTAATTTGGTTATTTTGTTGTGTTTAATTTAACTACTATATTTACATATCGTAAATTTACAACTCTTTGGTTTTGGTTTAAATTCGGTTAATATAACACATTATATATAGTTAATAATTTTCAAAATTAGTTTTAAAACAACTAACCTAAAAAAGTTCTCGCCGACCTTAATTTCTCATTTTAGTTGCAGCCCTGCTTTATTTTTATAAAACGCATCTGTTATGTGACAAAACCTATAGATGCTTACCAAATTAATTATATGTGATAATGTAATAATCAAAAGTTAAACTGAACCTATGTCTTAACCATTTTTAAAGGTTAAGATTAGTAATTAATATAACGTTATGTAACTTCTAAAATAACCTATTTTTAACTTATAAGTAATATTACTAACTAGTTAAATATTTATAGTCAATTTAAACTCTGGAAATAACCTTAATTTACCTATAGGTAAAAATGTAACAATGTTAATTGGTTAAAAACAAGTTTAAAAAAAAGTTATTTTACTTAGAATTTGGTTAATTTACTTAAAATGCTAGTTATTTAACCAGTTGTGCTAGAATGGTTAAAAGTGCTTCTGTGAAGAAAATTATTTTCTCGATATATTTTTTTCATTGTATCTACGACGTAGATTCTACGTCATGTGGAGCTTTAATGAGAGTAATTTTAATTTGCCAAGCCATGAAACGTAAAGTATATCCCTCATATTACATTAATACCTTGATAGTATTGGCATTTGGCATCGCGCAGCAATTTTAATCTGAATTTCTCCGATTTTATTAGTCGCACCATGTGATTGAACGGTCGATTTGAAGTGATTTATTTTTTAATTTAAACAGCTCGCGACCACACCGCGAAAAAAACCACACAGAAGTTTAAATTAAATAAGCCACACATGTCGAATGTGGATATAGACAAATTAAAAATAATGTCGAATATTTCATGTATGTTGGAAAATGCTTGGAATAAAGCAAATTATAAATAAAAAACTGAAACCCTATGAAACAACCCCCTTAATCGTTTAACCGCAAGTGATCTTTTTTCCATTCACCGCCAGAGTCGATCGAAAATGTAACATACTGGTGGTTACACCCCCTTGTACATTCAAAAGCAGTCGGGGGTTTTTCTGCTGCAAACGTGGCCAGAAATTGCCTTTGTTTGTTGCAGAGGGTCGATCTGTTTAGACAAAACGGCGTTAAATTATGTTTCGAGATACGGGGGACGATTAAAATTGATAAAATCTCATACAGAATTCCATTCTCGTTTCAACGATGTTTTGTTTGTTGATTTTCGTTGATAAATAAGGCTGTAAATCGAAAAAATGCATT